TATTTTCAAAATATATTGAAAGGTATTTTGATCCCTCTCAGTAAATTACTACCACTTATTTACTAATATTACCCCTAGTAATAAAGAACGCCAAATAAAAGCATAAATTTATTAATTTTGTTTGTTGCAGTTACAAGAACTTCTTAGCTTCACCACGTTACATTTCGTCGCCGGCTCTATAGTGGACACTGTGTGGTCAATATTGAATGAGTATGGCTTGGAAGTACTGACACCAACCCCCCTGAATGCCTAATTCCGATTTTCACTAACAATCTTGTATACATTTCTGTCCTCATTATAGAGCCACATGTACTGAGGGTACATCAATTAGTTTGTAATAAAAATATATAATATTTACCATCAAAATTTTACGTTTGTATCATAAATTAATTATATTTTAATTATATAGAAATTATGCGGAATATTGGCAGTTTCTATTTTTTATGATTTACTAGTTCATCAGAATGTGTTTTTGGACTTGAAACAAAACACGCTATGTTATTATTTTTAAATCTGCGGGCGATTTGGATTCTTTATATTACGCTCTCGCGGACCTTTAGAATAATGTCCTCCCACTCCGGTACCAACACAACAAATAAGACTCATTTTTCATGAATTCTATTAATTAAACTAAGGATTTTCCTTCACACAATGAATTATTAGTGTAATATAATGTATGATAATAGTAGTTTATGCAATTAGTTTATAATGTTAAGCTTCATTGCATTTTGAAAACGGGCGACGTGAGAAACGAGATTTCAAATTTGTACGAATGTAATAAAGCAACATTATAAATGAGTTGCATACTATATTGTTTGTATAACAGCATTATACATTTATAAGAGAATCAAACTTAATTTAAATTTTCCGAATCAACTTCCCTGTACGCCCTCGGTATTTGACATCGTGCGAGTAAACGGTGGTTGTCTGGTTCCGTTCAGCTCTACTCCCCGCGATTCTCTCGATTGCCTTGAACATGTGGATGACGCAATCCATTGGTGACAATAACATTAATAGGTCGTCATTTTGCCGTAAAATGCTATGAACGATTTCTTGCAACAGAAAAGGTTCTTTTATAATGCTGGAATACAAAAAAAAATTAAAAATCGATATATAAATATTATTTTGTTGAATATGAAAATTGCAGTTTTGGAATGTTGCGGGTTGTATGAATATTGCGCGTATGACCAAAGTCTAAACACCTTAGGCACTGAATGGGTCCATTTGTTCTACGTCATTTTTCAGCTGTCACTTTTAAGTTGCAAATTTCCGTTATTTGTAATACAATGTCTATGCTCTGCTGTCCGTTAAACCCGGCAGCTACCAGTGGGATAGGAATTTTGTCTTTATGCAGTCTGGTAACACCGATTAACGATTTTTTCTTGACATCCTCGAAGATTTCCTGTATTGATAAAGAGTAATGAACATTTTTAAAAACTATGGAAATTTTTTTATTTGCGGGGTCTTCATAGGCGTGAAACTTTATTTTAGTATTTAATAAATATTTAATTGCTTTTCAGAAGTCAGTTATTGTTTTAAACATTAGCTTCATTCGGTTATTTATTATAGTGCAGGTGAATTGATTAGGAATATTTTTTTTTGGTTTCTATATTAAACTCTGATAAGTTTGTTATGTTATTCACATAAATGACACATAACATCTATTTAACTCCCTAGCTATATAAATAACTATTTTCTACTATCGGGCGTAAAATGCAACTTTGTTATAGTAAAATGAATACGAAATGTTTCTTTTGTTTTGAAACTTACCAGAAATCCTTTTATTATAAAAGTATATAAAAAACGTTATGTTTACTTTTTTCATTATTGCATAACAAATCTCCTATAACCTTTTTTATCATGCATTTACATGTTTAGAGAAGTCAAAAATCAATAAACGCAAAATCCTTGTTACTTAAATGAAAATACTACATGAATGTTCCCTAATAAATAATTCTTCCCTCGCAAAGGTACAAAAGCGACTCGAGAAGGCGAATTCGTTTCATTTTTAGAGACTTCGAATGAAATTAAGAGAGTAGCTGTTAAGTAATTTAAGAGTTAATGGAGCTGTTTGAAGCGTTTTGAAGGTGTTCGTTAATTTTTAATTAAATTGAAAATCATATTTATTATACACAAAGGATGGCAATCATCTTAATGCTTACAGCTTTAAAATTATTGCTTTATAAAACAGTTTATGATAATAATGACAAAGAACATTAGGAGTTAACATTTTAATAAAATAAACAAAGTGATTTCATTTTAAAAATAGTTTTTTTAGTTTTATATAAATAATGCTATAATTAAAACGTTTGTGAAAGTCTAGAACAAAAAGTCACAAGTCCATCTGTCAAATTTTGCTTTTATCTATTGTTGAATTTGAAAAGTGATTTCCGTCATTCTTACATCAAAAGCATCACATGTCATTTAAAAGAGCAAATAAAATAAGCCATATTAAAAAGTTACAATAATTGTTTGATTGGCCCACTCATGAGTAGCTTCATTATAGCACTAAAGTTCTAATCGATTTCCTTTAACACCAGTGGTATAATGACTTTATTAATCATCAATTTAATCAACGAAAGAAACGGCAAGTAAAATAAAAATGGATTTGTTATCGGTATATGTTAAAGTTTGAATGGTACTTATACGATTGAAATAATATCAAATTGAAATTCGTATCACTGAGCTTCGTTGTGAAAAAGCCAATCTCATTTAATTATGATGTTCATATCGAACTTATACTAAAAACTACTTTCTATTACACCATAAATGTCCTTTGTAGTCTAATTCATTATATTTTTTGAGAGTTATATGGACCAAATTTCAGTAAAACAATATGGATCACATTACAGCAAAACAACTTTATTTGATAATTTTCAGGCACCAAAGGCTTGGATGTAGCAAGTTTCCAACAGGTTTATTTTCTACAAAATGTTGAATGATTTCTGATCACATAAATAAATTCTTTAGTTGGAACTAAACAATTTTAAGACTAATCGATAATAGTTTGAAGGTCAGAAAGTAAACGACAAAGTGTGTTCAGGTAAAATTTCTGAGAAATAGATTAATAAAATTTGAATGTTACACAAATAGCAATTATACTTACCTTGATACACTTTTTTGTTCGGTTTCTGTAGTAAATGATCAATAGAACGCAAAATATCAAAACAAAACGTGATTGCTATTGTAACAAACAGATGTTAAACATATGTGATGTTCGACATAACTGTTATCATTAAGAGTTTGAGCTCAAGCTTGGACAACTCAACGCTTGATTTTGGGTGCAAGGATAATTGCTGGAAGTGGAAGAGAGGAGTTCTCATAAATGTGAGAACAGATATAATGAATTCCTTTTATTACATTTGATGCTCCTAATGAATTGTTTGGGGTTTTAACAGTATACATATTTCCATATAACAAGCAAGGAAACACATAAAGTTCATAAGATATGTATTTGCAACTGCAATATTAATTGATCATTAAAATGGCACAAAATGAACACTGTTACTTGAAGTAAATTGTACAAAGATAATTGTGATGTGCAGATGTGCGTATTAAATTATTGGAACAATAAAAGTGTGTTTAATTTCATAATCTCATTGTGGATTACTTTTGGAAAAACGTTTTTAAATTGACAAACTGACTTAATCTGGACTTTTAAGATCCAGTAGAATAGATTTTCACCTAGTTTATATCGAGTTAAATTCTTGTTTAGCTTTCTTTATTCAGCTATTATAAAACTTCTCATTTAGATGGAAAAATTCCCTTGTGAAATAGAGTAAAAACAATAGTGCTATAACTAGGAACATGCAGGTAACCCGTATTGACAAAAAATGGATTTATGTTTCTTGTCATGATGCCATGGGTAGGTCTTATTCTTCAAAGAGAACAGGGTGCCAAAAGTCACGTTTTTGGTCATCAATATTACTTCGTATTATTTTAGTGCACATTGATATGTGAACAATTGATATGGCTTTGCATTGAACTGTTGGAGAAGAGGAGATGGAGCGCATATTTTCTACTTGATATGTGTACAAATGGTTAATATTGCAAGTTATCATAAAATTGCATTTAACATAAATGCATAGGGGTAAATTACAAAAAGAAAAATGTCAGTTTATACAGAAATTGAGAGCACATTTTTTACAGCTTAATATTGCATTGAATTATTTCTAACACACATACATACAATATTGTTTGTGCCATTAGTTTGTGCAGAAAACGTTTCTGCACCAGGAGATTACTACACGTTACCTTGTTTTTTTATGACACAGGTTCATAAAAAATTTAGGGACTGACCTATGACAATTTATTTCTTATTCAAAATTGGAACTTGACTGAAAACATGCACATTGATGAACTTAGAACAGAATATGCTTGTAAAGCAGATGTGAATTTATTGTTGATAAATTCTAGACGTTGGTGTTACAAAGTGACACGATTAGTGAAATCTTCTTTGGATGTTTATTTTATACATTAAATGTATACAAAAAGAGTTTGTGAAATAAGATAAGTCAGTATATTAGGAATGCATATAAGGAATTTGTAATTTCCTTTCTTAGAGAGATAGAACAAATCTTACACTGAAAATCTACACTATTCTACAAAAGAAAAGTCTTTTCTCCAAAATTTGTACATTTATGGAATAGTAAAACCTTTGGCTATCTCCTGACTAACTCATAAAGAGAATAATCAAACTTACAGAACACTTATGATGAATTTTAATATTTACAAACACATGCATAAATAAGAAAACGAGGTACGTCAGCTGTCCTTCAGCTAATCGTTTTTTCTTTCGTCTGAACATACTCCATGTTCCATTTTCTCTTCATGGAATTCTGCGAGTAAATTTTAGACAAAACACGATTTCACGTACCCTATATTTTTTCTGTTCTTCCTTTCGACAGAAAATAAATAAAACCTTGCTTTTTAAAGATTATGGTACAGCTCCCGGCCGAAACGAGAGGCAAGTTTGCCAGAAACGAAGCGTGGCGAACGGATGGGGCCGCGAGGGGCGGCGGGCGCTGGCGCGGGCTGGCGCGGGCTGGCGCGGGCGGGCGCGCTAGGAACTGAGCGTGGCGTGGAGGAGCGGGGCGCTGCGCGGGGGCCCTCGCTAGGTCGCAACCTCGATGGGCTCGTGCTCGTTGCAGTTGTTGTTGGTGGCCGGCTCCTCCTTGATGAACGCCTCGGCCTTCACCTTGGCCTCGTAGGCGACGGGCGAGGGCGACGGCGGCTCCTTGGGGAGGGCGCCGAGCGGGGAGCCCAGGGGCGAGCGCAGCGCCGCGGGCGGCGAGGCGTCGCCGTGATCCTCGTCGCGGGCCCGCGCGTTTTCGCCGCCGCGCCGCTTGCGCGCCCGCCCGCCCCCGCCCCCGCCCCGCCCCCGCGCCGCTTCGGGGTAGCAGCTGCGTCAGGTGGTTCGTCGGCCGCCAGCGCGCGGCCGCCGCCGCCGCCCCTGCTACGTCGAACCCTTCCCATGAAAAGAGCGGATCTCGTCGAAGTAAGGCGTCTCGCGTTTCGTTCTCGTTTGCTGGGCCTCCGGGGCTGTCCCGCCACGGGCCGCCCCGCTGCCATCGTCTACGCCTTCGTGCTTTCATTTGAGGTGGCGTCCGGTTGGTCTGCTGGCCGAAGCAGCGGTCGCACAGCGGGACTTGAACGGCTTTCTCCTTGTTGGTGGATGTTGCGGACGTGGCGCTGCAGTTGGACGAGATTGCTGAACGGGACTCTCGCAGTACTTGCACTTGTAGGGGCTGCTCGCCGGTGTGGGTGCGGAAGGTGGCGCGTCAGGTTGCGCGGAGCGCGGGAACACCTTGCCGCAAGAACTTGCACGAGTAGCGGTCCTTGAGCTTGCTCCGTTGGCGGCGACGGCGGCGGCCGCCGCGGCGCCCGGCGGGCTCAGCATGTCCGGTAGGGCGGTTGGCGCCGAAGCCCTGCAGCTGCGGCCGCAGCAGGTCGAAGGGCGCGCGGGCGGGAAGGGCCGGCCCAGGCAGCCCGAGAAGAAGTTGAGCGGGGGCACGTGGCCGAAGGCGCCGCCCGCCCGGGGGCAGCAGGGCGCTCGTGCGGGGGTGCCGCGGGGAAGTTGGGGAACTGCGGAGGCCTGTCACAAAACACAATCCGTTACCAATCTTGCATAACTTAGTCGTGCAGTAGATACAAGGAAATCACCTCATAAGCATTCACACCTTTAAAATATAATAATGACAAGTGCAATTTGTTTTTTTCTACTGCAAAAATTCTAAAATTCATTTCTCTGGATAAAATAAATAAGATTGTAACTAATTGTAACCAGTATAACCATTTCATTTCGACTCGTAATGTTATTACTGTGACTTCATGGACCTGAAGCGAGCTTCTACGACGCGGACCCGCTCCATCTCGACCTAACCTCACTCGAACTTCACAAAGTCGAACCTCATCATTAAGAACTTCTCAACTGAAGGTTTTGATATTGTTTCAGCAAGGAACTAATGAAACAAGTTTTGCATGTACCACGGTCGTAACTCCTCGGTTCGTTCCCCCTCGGTGGTGTAGTCTCCACAGGGCAAAACATTTACTTAACGCCCTAGATATATAACAGTATTTATGCGCCAACAGCGTCATAAGGTTACTATTTAGATTTATTTAGTAAAAAACAGAAAAACTGTATGTGACGTATGCTGGAGAATATCATCTGCGCACGTTTTTTTCATTTCCTGAATCCTTTCCATCATTGAACTATAAAATAGTTGGCGCATAGTGAAGCTACATTTACGTTCAGAAGAATTATTTAAAGCCCGCTTTGTTGGAGGTCTGCAGATGCAAAGTAAATAATTTTGAGCTTAGAAGATGTACGACTGTTATTTCAAGACCTTTTTCAACTGCATATAATTGATTATTTTGACAAGAAGATAGAATCGATATAATTTGTTTCGTAAATGCACAAACCACCGTAAGCAGGGCCCTTATTCTAATGACGAGAGGCGACAAAATGCCGGAGAGCCTTTGGCCCGAGGGTTTTTCGTCACCTCAGATAAAACCAGTTAATGCCCGCGGTACATACTTGATTTATTTATGTACTCAATCTTAATTATTCGAATTTACTTATTACTAATTAACTATATATTAACTTCATTCGGTTTGTCATTTCATATTCACATAATTCTCTCCGAGTGAGAGCATGTAGCAACATTCAACTGTTATATTTCCTTCGTCTTCACGATCTTATCGATTTAAGTGAGTCATGCAGTGAATAACGCTCCATATCGAGTAATAACGAGCAATAACGTATCAGTAAAAAAAAACATGGCTTTTGATATCAGTTTCCTTTGTAGTCCAAATATGCATGAGGTGATGTGACAGAAGCCCGGAAGACGCGTGGAGCTTGTTGCTGAGACGTGAGCAGCTGACGTACCTGTACATGGCCTCGACGAAGGGCGAGGGGTGCCACGGCGCGGGTAGGCCATGGGCGCTGCGGCTGCGGCTGCGGCGTGTGCGAGCGCTGGGGCTGCGGCTGCGGGGGCTGGCGGCGGGACGGCGCCAGGGGGTGCGCGTGCGGGTGGAGGTGCTGCGGGGGCGCCAGCCGGCCGGCTGACCTGGGGCGGCGGGGCTGAGGCGGTCGCGGCGCCGCCGGCGAGTGCGGGTGCGGGGGCGGGCTGTCGGGGCGGGCCGTTGGCGGGCGGCGCGTCGCGGGCGCGGGCGGCGGGACAGGGGCGGGGGGGGGTGCGGGGGAGGCGGCGGGGGCCGGGGGCGCGGGGGCCGGGGCAGGGCAAGGCTGGGCGCAACCGCTTGCGCGCCACGCGCAGGTCCAGCGGCTGTCGCCTCGCCGCTGCTGTCCGAGTCTCGCGCCCGGCGCCCGCCAGCAGCGCGCTGCAGCGGGGCGGCCGCGGACGGGCGATCTCCGCGGGGGACCTGCAAGAGCGAACGATTACTCACATGACAAACACTTTCCCCTTTAGAAATTCAACTTTTTCGTGTAATTGTAGAAATTGTGGACAGAAGACGTGAAAATGTTATAATGCATTTTATTACAAAAGGAAGGAAAAGAGCCTTTATGTATGGAGAAAGACATTCGAGGAGTTCAGGAATAGAGTTTATATTGAGGTGAAGTTCTAGATGAATAATTCATAAAATATCAAATATTATGTGTGCTGTGATGGTATATTTATGTGTGTACAGTAGTCTAGGAAAGGACTCTCCTCATCGAGCCAAATCAGGACCTTCATTAAAAATTGTTATCTACTCGGTAGCAAAAAGAATCACTGCAAAAAAATGGAAAACGAGGCACGAAGGCGTGCCACCTGTTGGCGGAGAGGTTCCCGGGGCCCGTCGTCGTCCTCGTCGTCGGAGGCGCCGGCGCGGAGGCGCGCGTGCGCGAGCGCGTGCGCGTGCGAGGGCGGCGGCGGCGGCGGCAGCGGCGGCGTGCGTGGGGCGCGCGGGCGACGGCTGCAGCTGCGCCGTCGTCGCCGACGGCGGCGACACCTTGCTGAGGTGCGCCAGCGCCAGCGCGTGCGGCGGGCGGTGCGCGGGCGGCGTCGACGCCCCCTCGCGCCGAGCGCGCCCCTCCGCGTCGCTCTCGTCCAGCTCCAGCTCGGCGCCGGGGGAGCCGCCTGCAAGCACATGCAGGCCACGCAAATCACACCCAACTCGTTGGAATACTTCGATTTGTTTTAAGTGGCCGATGACATTAGTCATTGTTACACCTTCCGAAATGAATTTTTTAATGGATTCGCGAACGTCCTTCTCAACGAGGCTTGTGGCCTCAGAAATGTGCTTACCACCGTTAAAAAGATGTATCGAATGCACGTATTTCACGATATTATTCGAGAGTTACATCGACTACCCCTTCTACTCACTTTGGCTCACCACCTCTTCCCTAGCCTCCTAGTCTTCTCTTTTCTCTTCGCCTTCCCTTCCTCTGTCACCTCTCCTTCCCACTCTCGATTGATCCCCTTCCCTACCTCCTCTCCTCCTTCGCCTCTTGGCTCATCCCCTCTCCTTCTCCCCTCTCGTCTCTCGTCTCCTCCTCACTGCATGCAAAATAAACAACTCCTGCCATAAGAGATTTAACTCAAAATATATTTAAAACTAACCAGTTTTAAACAGGAATGTTTACTACAATGTAGTTTATGATATTTTCAATACACTTTTAATATCCATTGATTTAATAACCCTTCGAAGTTTGAAGAATTCAATTTCAAATAGATTGTGTGAGAACATTCTTCATGAATTTTTTTACTTCAAATTAGTACTGGCGCGATTATGTTTTTATTTGAGTAATTAGAGTCGGACAAGTTAGTAGATTTTGAATCACGTTTTAGATCTACTCTCCTCCTTTCACCGCATTCTCCCCTCATTTCCTCTCTTCTCCCCTCGCCTTCTCCCCACCTGTCACCTCTCCTTCCCACTCTCGACTCGCCCCTCCCCTATCTCCTCTCCTTCCTCTCTTGCCTCATTCCCTCTCTTTTTCTCCTCTCCCCTCTCTCGTCTACTCTCTCGTCTCGTCAATCACCTCCTCTCTCCTAAACCTTTCTCACCATCTTCCTTCGAATTGCCCGTATTCACTTCTACCCTCCTCCTCCCTCTCCTCTCCCCCCATACCCCTCTCCCATTCTTCCCTATTTTCTCTAAACTCATCATCTTTTCCTCCTCTTCATCCTTTCCATCTCTCGCCTTCTCCTCCTCTCCAACGCCTCTCTCCTCTCCCCATTCCACTTTCACTATATACATACGGTTGTTGATATTATTTACTTGGTTTAACTCAAGAATAAAAATGACCATTTCCTGCCATTGTCCCAAAAATAACAATAAAGATAGCATGTTCTAAACAACAAAACAAAATATAATAAAATAATCACCATGTCAATACTTATGGCATGTAATTGGTTGATGTGGTCGGGAATGTTCACGTAAAATGTATTATTCTTAAACCTAGAAAACCTACGGCGCCTTAAAATATGCATTACATGTTATAACATACTAAGTTTGAACATTAAAATGCATTCTTCCTTTTTCAATAGTTATTTTACAAATTCTTGTCATAAAAGAGGAAAAGAATGTGAAGAGTGTGGAATCGCTGATTAATTTGGCCATACTGCTTCTGATTTGTGGAACAAATTTCCTCGTATTCGTATTTGTAAGAAAAAGGAGGATAATATTTGAATTGTATTTACTGGTTTTAATTCCCAATAGTTCATTCTGCTTCGTACATTGCACAATGTTAATGCAAAATTAGGCCCCCTACGTCCCTCCCTCCCCCGAGTTCGGCTGCTGGCTACCAGAGATCGCGCAGCGCGTACTCACCAGGCGCGGGGCGGTCGGCTGCTGACGCGCTCTCGTGCTTGTGCTGCTGCGGCGCGGCGTGTGTGGGAAACACGAAGGGCAGCGCTGCCGCGTGGTTGGCGGCAGCCGCGGGAAACAGCGGTGGCGGGTACACCAGAGGGTGGTAGAAGGTGAGGCCCGTGGCCGCGTGGCGCGGGTACGGGTGGTACATGAAGTTGGCCAGGGCGGCTGCGGCGGCGGCGCTAGCCGAGGCCGACACCGACGGCGGGACCAGCGACGACGCGTTCTGTGGGCACCCAAAACGAAATTGAACCTTCTCAAAATATGCAGGACGTATTTCAACTTCAATGATGGAAAATGTTCATGCACATTCTCAAAATTGCACTTTTTTATTTTTAATCCAGTAAAACATGTATTTTGGAAACCGGTATTTTGAATATAACGCGTCTGGCGGACTAGAGAATTTATACACAAAAACGAGTATTTTTGTAATATGTCTACTAATATAATTTTATAAGGTATGATTGACATATGTAAGAGTTCATATTTGAAAATTTAATTAGTGTGCGGGTTTCCATGTTGAAAAGCCGCCGTTTGCGAGTGGAGTCAATTGGAAACCAATTGCAAATATTGTAGAGGTAGAACGGAAATCGCTTCATTGCATCCCGAGGTCAGATTTCCCTCCCACCCGCCTCCCAGATAATCTGCATTCCGTTTTTGCTGCCTGAGAAGGCAGTCCGAGCCCAATTGCATCCCGGTCGATGTCTTCAGACGGAGGAGGCAACAAGTTAGTTCAGTTTCCATTCACGAGTATTAAGAACATTCCATACAGTTTAATCCCAAATTTGAGATTTTTATACTATCTCGTTAAAATAGTATAGTTAGAAAGTATAGTTAATCAACGTTGAAAAGAGCATATATTATTTTTCTCTTTTATGTACTGCAAATATGAAAGCTAAAAGGCAATCTTCGAAGCACTGCTAACTTGGCGAAATTGTACTCTGGAGGAAAAGCGAACGGGATGCAATCGGGCTGCGGCTTTTTGGGATGTACAAAAGTCTTAGGAAATTGAGACTGCGGGATGCAGTCAGCCCATGCCTTTTTAGAAACAGAGGTAAAAAACTTAGGAAACATTAACTGCGGGATGCAATCGAGCTAAGTCTTTTTGGGATGTGTGTAAAATGCTCAGGAGTTAACCGCGGGATGCAATCGAGCTCCACCCTTTGGGAAGAGGGGTAAAAAGTTGGGTGAGGAGTGGGCTACGTGCTTGGGGACTCGGTTCACCGTAGGATGCAATCGCAGGGGGGGGGCTCACCTGTGCGAAGGGGGACACAGGAAAAGTCAATCGTAGGTGCAATCGAGCTCCGCCCTTTGGGAAGACGGATAAAAGGTTGGGTGAAGAGTGGGATACGTGCTTGGGGACTCACCTGTGCCATGGGGCTGAGGAAAAGTGAACCGTGGGGTGCAAGCGAGCTCCGCCCTTTGGGAAGACGTGTAAAAGGTTGGATGCGGAGTGGGCTACGTGCTTGGGGACTCGGTTCACCGTGGGATGCAATCGCAGGTGGGGGGTGGGAGGGGGGCTCACCTGTGCCAGGGGGGCGTTGGGCGCCGAGGGCGACTGCCGACGCGGGGACTGGAAGGCGGCGGCGGCGGCGACCGCGGCGGCGGCGGCGGGCGACGCCGTCGAGTCGCAGAAGCGCTTGTGTTTGGTGAGCGTCGTCACCGTGCTGAACGTCTGGCCGCACTTGGCGCACTTGATCTGCATGCGGCAGTCGGCGTGCATGCGCTTGTGCCGGCACAGGTTGGAGAACTGCGTGTACCTCTGCGGAAAAACGAAGCTCGGTTAACATCGCTCGGTTCGGTTCCCACTCGTGGGCAAGTTACGTGTTTCGGGAACACCGTAAGGCCTGCCGCAAAACGCAACTCTACTTCAAGCTACACTCTTTCTACATTTCTTTCTCATGCCTTTCATTCGGTTTAATCACCAATTTCCATCTACTCGAGAATTTACAACTTTACAGTATTCACAAACTGTCATTTTCTTTTCATTCCCGTAAAGACCCCGCTTATATAAGTCACATTTAATGCCTCTAATGCGAAAATTCTGTCATGAATTGAATAATAGTCAAAGAAACGTGACGATAGTATTGTTGTATTTAACAATTCCTAGCGAAGTGTAGTAATTTTCGAAATGAAGTAAAAGTAGAATGATTAAAATTTAATATTTCAAAATGCTATAACTTTATATTTATGGCTGAAGCCTCGTTTGACGACTCGTGAACTTTACCTCTGAAAGATATGAAAGAGAAAATGTTATACTACTATGATATAAAACGAGTCAATAAGATTACACAAGTTACTGAAAAATAATATAATAAAATATTTCTTGCATTATTATGGAAATTCACTTCTCTTTAATACTTCGCATGACAGATCTTAAAGAGTAAAACAGACACAATAGAGACACGATGCATTCTGTAATGTACTTTTGTACGCGTATCTTTAAATCAATGTGCACGTTTAAATTGTCTCATTGCGAACGAGAAGCGAAGTAATTTATTATTGGATTGTTTCATAATAGTATCATGAATCAAGATATTCACGCTAAATTTTTGCCCTTTTCGAATGTCAAAACAAGGGTTAAATATTTATTTACACGGCTCATTACTATTATATTTCATTTTCTGGGGACAATTATTTTGTGTTGAGATGTTTCTTATATGGACGCTGAATTAATCGTGTCCCTTTGTATTTAAAGTTTGTGCATTCAATCTGTTACTTATCAACGTTTTTTGTAAACGTTCAATTTAATTTGAGAAGGAATGAATTTCAGTGTTTAAGAGTTTGTGTGAGTGTGTGCTTGTGCGTTATATGAGGTGATTGAAGTTAATTCCAAGAAGAATGGGAGTGTGGGCGTACAAGGGTACGTTTGCACATGTAAGTTATCACGAGTGCAAATTCACATGTGTAAGTTCGTTCCCGAGTGTGTATCTCGCAACAGCTTTGTTTTGAATTGGTTGTAATTTGTATTGTTGCTTCAAGTTTCCAATTCCCCTTTTTACATTCTCGTGAAAGATCGTGTGTGTGTGTGTGTGTAGAGAGAGGAGAGAGAGAGAGACGACAGAAGACAGAGGAGAGGGGTAATTTGTAATGTTGCTTCAGTTTTCATTCCCCTTCTTTACAGGTTTCAGTGAAAAGACTCGTGGTGTGTGGTGTGTGTGTGAGAGAGGAGGGAGGGAGGAGAGAGAGGGAGTGAGAAAAGAGGGAGAGAGAAAGAGGTGAGAGAGAAGAGGGAGAGAGAAGAGGGAAGAGAGAAAGAGGAGAGAGAAAGGGGAGAGAGAGAAAGAGGGAGAGAGAAGAGGGAGAGAGAGAAGAGGAGAGAGAAAGAGGGAGAGAGAAGAGGGGAGAGAAAGAGGGAGAGAGAAAGAGGGAGAGGAAAGAGGGAGAGAGATAAGGGAGGAGAAGAGAGAGAGAAGAGGGAGAGAGAGAAGAGGGAGAGAGAAAGAGGGAGAGAGAAAGAGGGAGAGAGAAATGAGGGAGAGAGAAGGAGGGAGAAGAGAAGAGGGGAGAGAGCAAAGGGAGGAGAAGGGAGGGGAAGGGAGAGGGAGAAGGGAGAGGCGGAGGAGAGGGAGTAGGGAGAGGAGGAGGGAAGAGGGAGGAAGGGGAGGGAGAAGGGAGGGGAGGTAAAGGGAAGGGATGGCTAGAAGGGAGGAAGGGGGAAGGGGATTGGGGAGTGAGGAGCATGGGAGGAAGTGGAGGAGAGAAGGAGATGCTCAAAGGAAGGGTGAGGGAGAGGGTCAGAGTGAGTTGTTTGGTAGAGGGAAGGCTGGAGGAGGTGAGGGAGAGGACGGGTGAGGGAAGGGAGAGGGAGTGGCAGGGAGGGTAGAGGGAGGGTGAGCAGGGAGGGAGGATGGGATGGTGAGATGGGAGGAAGAGGGAGAGATGAGAGGGGAGGGGAGATGGGATGGGAGAGGGAGGGAGAGGAGGGAGAGGGAGGGAGAGTGGGAGGGAGAGGGAGGGAGAGGGAGGGGATGAGGGAGGGGAGGGAGGGGGGGAGAGGGGAGGGTCGTGAGGATGTTGGACGATGGTTGTGGTGTGACTTCGCGTAATTTTTAGGTTCGTTCACAACTGCTGCAATGCATGCAACAGTTTTTGGTTTGAAATTGCTTATGTCTTTGTTGCCTTTCCTTCCGCGTACGTCCACACGGGGCGCGGTGTGTGTGGGCCGTCGAGCGTTGAGCTGTGCGTGGGTGGGAGAGCGAGCGCCGCGCGCAGCAGCATCTAGCGAGGCGAAAGCGCCGGACGCGGTGTACCTTCGAGGCGACTGCACTGGAAGGGCTTCACGCTTGGCGTGGGATGTGCGTGTTGCTTGGCTTGAGGCCAGAGGAACGTGGCAAATAAAGGTCTTGCGCACTCGGGACACGGCGTGCGAGGCGCAGCGCCCCACCGTGCTGGGCGCGGATGTTGCCGCTAGAAGGTTCGACGGGTCGGAGTAACACGCTGCGGCAAGGCGCGAGCCGGCTCGGTGAGCGGGAGAAGAGTGGCAACCTTCTTGGAACACTGAAGACCCCTGCGTGGAGTGTGCAATATTAATAAACAAGAAAGAATCTGAGAAGTGACGGAACTTAATAAATCAGGCAATTAATAAATGTTTTGGGCCTATCATGTCGACAAAACGGCACTCCGCTACCCTCCTGACCCAATCTTCTTTGATGTAGTTACACTAATTTAGCTTTATACCTAAGTTACCGTAGGCGCGATACCTAAGTTAGCCTAAGTGTTTTGAATGATGCGTTTCATCGGTTCCCTAAATCGAGTTACAAATGCATGTCATCTTGACGATTATTAATCATATTTTTTTTTCTTTAAAGCCCCAAGCGGTGTGAAACTTATGGCGTTTCAATTAATCTTCTTAATATATTTATATTTTACATTAATCCCTCCAAATACTTCTATACATTTGTAATTCCACAGCAATTTTCAAAAGTCATTTTAAATTTATTTGAAGTAATTAAACAAGAACCTAATTTGCTAAGATGCAGAGAATAATTCTTGGAATAATTTTCTGTAAGTTATGTGAATATTTTAGGACATTTTTTAATTAGCATACAGCCAATATAACAAATGCTTCCTAAGAGATTTAAGAGATTGACTCAATTTATGACCGTATGACAAACAATACATTGTGAATACAAACTCATTTCAAATAAGTGGCACACAAATGGTTTATAATGTTATAATTGCGCTCTCTCCTAGTGCCTGTACACTTTCAACGTGTCATTTAGTGAAGCAACCTGAATGAATTTTTCAGAGGGACGCATATCTTAACAATAATATCTTATATTTAATCTTAAAACTTATTTATTATTAAAAGTAAAACAAACCGTTGGGCCAAATAAAGGTCTGTATAGATTTTTTGTAATTTCATAGGAATAATGATACATGTAGTACTGTATATGCTCTATGTGTACCACACATACGCTAGCAAAAATACATGTCATGAAATAACCGGGTCGCTTGAACCAAATCATTGTAAAAAATTCGTGAGAGACACCGTTAGCTTTCTCTCGTTTTGGTTCTGCAAAACTCACAATCGTAAACTATACACCGTTACTTTACCGGGCCAAAGCGCGTTCCTTGATTCCTCCTAATGTCGCTGCTT